GAAAAATATGTGTTATGCTCAAACTGGCTGTTAAATTACTCTCTATATGTTATGATTATGTAAGAAGGAAATAATCTCCACAATCCCATGGCTCTGTTTCTGCATGTCATAAGGATTTGGGATATACTATTACTGAAGACAGCTGGATGAGAACCTTTCCGGCACACAATTGCCAGACGTCCTTAAAATCATATTCCTCATCCTGATAACAGCGAACATAATCACGGTAGTTACAGACGCAGATATAGAGGCACGAGTATCTTTAAATTGCTCTAACAAACAGATGATGTTTAGACAGGGGTAGAGTAATAATGCAACAGCGCCAGCTTGTGTGTTGTGGGTCACTTGCCTTCAAACCAAAGACAATCTGCACTAAGTTTAATCCATGTTGTAAAACTCAGGCGTGTGAAGAGTTTTTAAATGTCAAACCTGCTTACACCACGGTCAATATATATATACATAGAAAAATAGTAAACAGTCCTTGCACTCAGGCTATAGCAGTAAATGTATATAAATATACTCCGTCGGGTGCTAAACCTGGGACTTTAAATATCAGTTGTAATGAACAAGAATTAAAACATAGGGTTTAGGATCAATGTTTTAGTCCACCCATGGGACGTTAATCAGGATCCTGAAGACTTTTAACTGAAGACAGTGAGTGCTGCCAGTACAACTTTGTTTCTATATATATATATATATATATATATATATATATATATATATAAATATGTATTTATTTAAATATTCTGTGGGAAAAGCAAGTCTTATGGCTTGACTGGTGTGCAGATTTTTGTTTAACATTGTATTATACATATATATATATATATATATATATATATATATATATATATATACACACACACACACACATACATACACACACACACTGAACAAAATTATAAACACAACACTTTTGTTATAGCCCCTATTTTTTATGAGCTGAACTCAAAGATCTAAGACTTTTTCTATGTACACAAAAGGCCTATTTCTAGCAATCCGGGTGGCTGGTCTCAGACGATCTTGGAGGTGAAGATGCTGGATGTGGAGGTCCTGGGCTAGTGTGGTTACACGTGGTCTGCGGTTGTGAGGCCGGTTGGATGGACTGCCAAATTCTCTGAAACTTTGGAGACGACTTATGGTAGAGAAATGAACGTTCAATTCACGGGCAACAGCTCTGGTGGACATTCCTGCAGTCAGCATGCCAATTGCATGCTCCTTCAAATCTTGCGACATCTGTGGCATTGTGCTGTGTGATAAAACTGCACATTTTAGAGTGGCCTTTTATTGTGGCCAGCCTAAGGCACACCTGTGCAATAATCATGCTGTCTAATCAGCACCTTGATATGCCACACCTGTGAGGAGGGATTAGCAAAGGATTAGTGCTCACTAGCACAGATTTAGACAGATTTGTGAACAATATTTGCGAGAAATAGGCCTTTTGTGTACATAGAAAAAGTATTTGAGGTTAGCTCATGAAAAATGGAGGCAAAAGCAAAAGTGTTGCGTTTATAATTTTGTTCAGTATATATACACATGTTTGAGAAAGCCCCAAGGGGGTGTGAAACGGCTTATGGTAGGAACGCAGAAGTACTCTCCTTCTGTCTACATTGACGAGACTGGCCATGTCTGGGTATTGAATACGGTTTATAGACTTCATAGAACTGTTACATTTCCCTGGACTGGTGAGCAGACGAGGGATTGGACTATTTCCTACATTTGGTTTTAACTACTATTGGAATAAAGCATTTACCTGCTATCCTGACTGTTTATGAATCCATTGGATCCCACGCACCCTAAGGGCTGATCTTCCCTGGGCGATATAGCTGTGAGTGGGGCTTTTACCACTCTCAACTTGTTAGTTAGATACCAACTGTTTTTTTGTTTTTCTTGTTTATTCCTTGTTTGTAACTCTATTGCACTAGGAGTTCCTTCTTCCATGTTGTCCCCTTTTAGATATCACGGTTGTGACTGTACAATATTGCAAGTATATGTATATGTCACACTGTTGGTTGTATGTTTTATTGAATCACTAACTATTGCATGTTAATACACCTATAAACACACTTAGGTTTGTGAATTGTGCTATACCACTTTAAGAAGTTTTAAATATATCCTCACCTAAGCTTGGGGATTGTGCAATATCACTTCAAGAAGTTTTAAATATATCCACAGAGGGTGTCTCTAAATACTGCACACCAATATATTTTTTATGTGTTGTCTAAATCTTATTACCAGGATTTTGATTAGTTGCTGCAATTTGTATTGTTTATTTGAATAATATTGTTTTTTTTTGCACCATGTTATTGATAGATATATATTATATTATATATATATATATATATATATATATATATGCATAGGCACGTGAACATATGCATATGGAAAGAGTATATATTATGTGCAGGCTTTCCAGCGTCCTGCTGGCTGAGTCTGATATACTTGTGGAGCTGGCTGGACTGAGTCTCTCCTTGTATCTCCCCCTCCTGTCTGTATTTTCTCCTTCTCTGTCCTACGCGGCGTTGTGCGCGGGAGGGACCTCCTGTGCTGATGATAATACAGGGGCCCGAGCACGCTGTTAGAGGGTCGCAGCGCCTGACTGAGCCCCAGTTCGGTAATGCCCATCGGGTGGCCCTAAGTGCGATGGGTCCCCAAGCGAACAGGCCCTCCAGCTCCTAAAGGGCTCAGCTGGCTGAGGTACCCTGGCTGACAGCATCCCACTCACCCTGGCGCTCATGTACTCAGGTGCCTTGCGGCTACAGAATGACAGCACGCGGGAGGTGGGACAAGAGGAGCCGCCTAGCCCTAGAGTATAGCCGAGCTAGTGCAGTCGCCAGGCGCCTCCTTTCACAATGCGCCTATAGGAAGCGCCAGGGGGGGGGGGGGTGGTGTGTGTGTGTGTGTATATATATATATATATCCAGCGTACTCGCTTAGTCACTAAATAATGATTTCAAATCGAAGACATTGTAATAATTTTACTTAAAAACACCTCACCTAGGCAAAAAATAATGGGGGTTAGTTACATTATATGATCATATATTGCATAAGCCTGCCACAACGTCAATGTACCTCAAATACGTACATACATATATGTATGTGCTTATATACTTACATGGTAATTAAACTAGAGCCACCCAATCAAGGAGGAATTCTGTGGGATGCATCCTGTACTACTCCTAACCCCATCCAAAACCTGTAGTCCAGGGGTGCCTAAAAGGCAGATCCCCAGATGTTGTAGAACTACAACTCCCATGATGCTTTGCATGCATTTAGAATGACAAAATTTCATGGAAACTGTAGTTTAAAAAACGTCTGGAAAGCTATCTTGAGGGCACTCATGCTGTAGTCCATCCTGAGCTGTTTTGTATTTTTTTTTTTTTTTTTTATCTTTATATATCTGGCTCTGCAAGCTGCCAGGACTGTCCCGGGAGAGTTAACTGGCCGGGACAGACTCCAGCTTGCTGGGACTGTCCCGGCAAAAATGGGACAGTTGGCAACCATGTAAATATGTGCTCTGTATAAAGCAATGGAATTTCCACTTGCATATGTATTTTCTTGCAAAATAAATCTATGTTTTATTCTCATCAAAAACATAACATTTTATATATATATTAAAAAAAAATAATTAGTTTTATTCATCAAACAACCTAGAAGAGAACTCCTTTTTATTAAATTACCAACCAAGTTTTAATTAAAGGGTAACTCAAGTATCCAGATACTAGCTACAATATGTAGGATAGGCAGGTCTCAAAATTTCCACTCACCCCCTAGCCATAAGTGATTGAAAATTAACCCTGGAAAATAGAATTTCACTCATGGTCAGTGTGCCATGGACTCTCAAGGTTTCCAGTGGCACGCATGTTTTAAGCATGGCTAGCAGCATTGGACGTTTGAGCACAGAAAGGGGAATTTGGAGATCTGGATATATTTACAGTTTTTATATTCTGGATGTTTATTAATTTTCTTTAAATTATTAAATATTTTTTCTACTATAATCCCACTCTTTCTGCCATTTCTTTCCAAAGAGCAGTTTTCCGTTTTGCTCCATAATTGTTTCTATACATGACTTTGGCTACTTGGAGTAAGTGATAACTGTTCTGTTGACAGTTGAACTACAACCAGAAACCCATAGTTTGACAAAGTATTGTTTATAAAATCTACTCAGCAGTACTATAAAAGGTTTAGAGAGTTTAAGTTATGCAAGAACTGTAGATGAAATATTTGTTGTTGTTTTTTTTTTTTGCTTTATCTTTGCATATTTCTCTAATCCGATTGCAAACTGAAATGCAGGTCCTGACTGTCCCTACAAAAATGGAATATTTCAAACTATGCATGGGTACACATTTCATACATATCCGGTTAGATGACACTGCCAGGAGCTGGGGACACTGATGGTCAACATAGTGGCAGTGAAAAGGGACATAGCCAGGTACTTACTACTACTCCCCACCCCAGTCGGTGTTACATTGCAAGCAGACATGGCACCTATGGCCGGCTTTTGCAAACCTTTTGAGCACCATATATTGGTAATGTTCAAGGGGACATACTAGAAAACATTAATAATCCCACCTAATCCCAATTTAAAAAAATTGACAAAAGATTTATTTCATATGTCTAATAGTTTTGTCTCTAATCGAAATGTTTTGTTTCCATTATTCTCTATGGGCGTTCCTTTTACTTCCATTATTCTCTATGGGCATTCCACTGCCTTGTTAAAGTCTATGGGCATTCCAATCTGTCATTCCATTTAGTATGTCCCTGATCTTTAGTAAAAACTGCCAAACGCTAGAGCAGCTTTGAGGATAATAAATACGTTTATTATATTCCATTTGCAGTGTTCGAGAAGAGAAAATCCCTCCACATTACAATAAAACCTCATTCAATCAACGATTTTTTCCTAGGCGGCATATAGTAGTATATTCAATAAGGGGACACGTGATATCAATACAAGAAGCCAGGTGTGAGCACCTGCAGAGCCTCTGGAATCTATTCTCAAGTGAGAGCACGTCACGTGACGCGGAAGTGTTGCGAATTCCACCGTAGTACAATCTGGCTGCTGGGAAGGGACTCAGAGAACACCGGAAGTCAGAAGAGTGTTTATGAGTTTTCATTATTCTCTCACTGGGTAATAGGCATTATTAACTAGTACTAAACCTAGATATAAAGTAATAGAGGGTGGTGGCATACTGGTTAGCTTTAATCACGGTTAGAGTATCTTTCTCCTGTAAACTCGGTTTGTTGTGTATAACATTATCCCTGCAGGTTCACAATCAATGCTCTCTGCTTCCCATTATTTTTTAGGGATGGAGGGCCGAACCACTTATGATGAGTATCCGTACCCCGTCGTATTTCTGCCACCTTACGAGAATCCCCCGGCTTGGATCCCTCTGAAGGAGGTAATTAAATGTGACAGCACACTCAGGGGTTTATTGGGAGAGATATATTGTGCTTTATCTGGAACATTTGCACCTTGTGCAATTAATTAAAATATACAACATTCCACTGGTAATATATAAGAGAGTGATTGGGGAGGGGGGTTGCACAATTTTTGTATGAGATTTTTTTATTTTTTTTTATAAAGTGGGATGGTCAGGCACCCTAATGTATCAAATGTATTCATTGAGTAAAATATTAAAATTCACCATAATTGGTTAACTCTGATTTTATCTACAGCGTATGTATCACTCAGATTATAACAATCAGTTGACACATTTCCTTCCACGAACTATACTCCTGAAGAAGCCACCTGGAGCACAGGTCAGGATTAATGATTTATGTGGCGAATTTTAAAAATATCTTTAAGTTTTTTTTTTTTATTAAAAAAAAAAAAAATAATAATTTACTATTCAACATACTTTTTTAATTTCCACAGCTAGGATTTAACATCCGTGGTGGAAAAGCTTCACAACTTGGGATCTTTATCTCAAAGGTACGTTTTTGTTTTTTTGCAAGGCTCCTCTATGTACATATAGAATCAAAGTTACAAGTAAAATGTGCATTTAGCGGAACATTGCTTTAGATTTAATGTGTTGTGCAAGTTATGGAATGGAGATGTTAAGCATACTTTAATGCTATTGGGTTGTGTTTCTTTCCTATTGGAGGTGCGAGGAAGCACTAACCTATGGGTTTGCTGTAATGAATATGGTGCCAGGGGTGCCTTTGTACCCCCGCGATGTAAGTAGAGTTGAACCATATGCCAACAGTTTAACAAATTACCCAGGGACCACCAGGCATTTGTCACTTTCCTCACTGAGAGGTGGAAATGCTTGCAAGGAGCCTCCATCGGCTCTCCTGAGAAACTGTTCGGGGCCAGCATATTCTAAGTTAATAAACTAAGACTTGTACTGCCATATTTTGACTCATTGAGAAGGTGATATGTACCTGGCCCTGCTGGCAGATACCAAGTAAGTTATCAAAACGTTTGCAAATGGTATCAACCTCTGCAAGGTGAAAGGCTTATTTGACTTTTCTGGAACTAGAGCCATACTACATTATCATTAGGTTTATATATTGCTGTATAATTTATACTTCTGTTTCAATGTTACTCCAGTTTTGGGTGTATTAGGTTACATAATATGGAGAAACAGCTGGGATTTTCTTGAGAATTGTGATCTGCTAATTCTGGCATTACATTATGTGTTTAGGTAATCCCAGACTCTGATGCTCATCGTGCTGGACTTCAAGAAGGAGATCAGGTGCTGACTGTCAACAATGTGGATTTTCAAGATATCGAGCATAGCAAGGTATATGGCCAAACTAAAGTCAGATTTGTTACAAAAAAATAATAATTTTCATCTTAAGACAGCTGTCCATATGGTGCGATAATGTTTTGGATATTGGCAAGGTCACCTGCAAGTGCTCCGTGACCTCACACATGCTTAGAAAATTGTGGTAACCTTAATTACATACCAAAAACAGAATGCAGGAGACAGTAACTCAAACAAAATTGATATAAAGCAATACGGAATAATGTTTTCTGGGTGCCTGATTCACAGCCCTGCTGGACTGTCTGATAGCAGAGAAGCAGCTATTTTTACAAAATATTTCAGCTATAAGGCACTCTCAGAAATGAGAGTGGACTTAGGGGGCTCTAAGCATCAAGCACTTTACAGTAAAGAAATTGGTTATAATGCTTAGACTGACCCTCTAACTTCTGTTCCATAAAACAAATGAAACATACGCTGCATCTATAAAGTATATTCTTCCACTTGAAAAAGCTCAACTTCCCCATATGAAGATGCAATACTAGTCATTTTTCTTGATATCTGACTTTTGTAAGCTGGATAATTAATTTTACTACAGTTAGCTAAAGTTTCATTCCCTTTTTCTAATGTTTGACATCAGAATTTAATATTTATGTGTATTTGTTTTAGGCTGTGGAGATTTTGAAAACTGCACGTGAAATCTTCATGCAAGTTCGTTTTTTTCCATACAGTAAGTAATTACAGTGCAAATACTGGCATTTGGAGAAGAATAAAGATTTTCTTTCCTCGCTATAAACAATGGCAGCATTAACAGATGGGTAGCACCCCCATCAGCTGTTTTATCCATTAAATTAACTCCCCCTTTTTCTGTATTCCCTAATACTGTATGAAGCTCTAGTCAGAAAACTGGGTGGGAATCTACTGCAAGTATAGATAATAGCCAGCAAATGAACATTATGATAAGTATTCCTGGTTAACCATGACAGCATTAATATATGGATAAAGCCTATCAATGAAGAAAAAGGAAATAGATAGAGATAGATATATATATCTAACACACCACCTCTTTTCCAGGTAGGATTTTGTCACAGATCTTGTAACCACAGCCTTCTAGAGTAATGAAAGTCCAGGACACATCCAGCTCAGTTTTTCAGATTTATTTGGTGAAATATAAATACAGGTGTTTCAAAAATGAAAAAACAAAACAAAATTCCTTGCTCTAGCACTTACTGTACACAGCAAATCCCTATCTGGAATTGGGTGGCTTTCCCACTTGCCAATTTACAAAAAGTATAATTGCAAGACACCATTCCTCTGGCTTTTCCTCCTCACCCTGCAGCATGCTGATCCCTTCTTTTTAAATGCCTGCTAGCTAATTGATCAGATACAGGTGAGGTGCAATTAGACATAGGTGAAACTACTAAGCAAAATAAAAGTTCTGGTCCGACTGTTACTTAGCAGCTGGTGCTATTGGAGCACTGGCCCACCCTGCTCTCCAAGTGCTCCGCCCCAGGGACCCATACCGTGGTTTGCAGAGTACCAGTAATGCATCTTGCAAACCGAACATCTCTCCCTGGGACATTTAACGCTCAAACCTCAGGCTGCTGTTCAGTAAATCAGGCCTAATGTATATGCCATCAACTACCAAACCACATTTTCTCTCACAATAGGAAGACTGACAGCTAAGCTTTGTGCCTATACTGGTTTTGCAAGGATGAGGTAACATGCAGTCAGTACTGGTGGATGAATGTATTGAAGACTAATTAGTAGCTCTGCACATGCTCTCAGAGGAAAATGCTTATTCACTGCAGTGCATGACGTAAAATACTGAACCAGTGAGCCCTACTTTGAGCTGGCACCCGGAAATTCTGACCTTAAAGCGGCACTGTCATACCGAACTTACTTTTTTTTTTTTTTTTAAACTGATTCCTCTTCTCTCCCTCTGTCTGGATTTGTTCTTCATTTCTTCCTGTCTGCTCTAGTTTTCTTTAAACCATAAGACAAAGTAGAGACTATGGAGGTTTCCTACGCCTGACCAGCGGAGGAGCAAAGTGTGCTTCGTTTCCAGTGATCAAAGCAATTTTCCCACAATTCTCACCTTTCCTCCGTGATCTTACAATGCTTCTTGTCAGTATTCCTGAACGTCCGGTTACTTAGACACAATGCCGGCGAGCAGGGGCATGTAAACAGACTCTGCAATTGGTAGACACTGCACATTTACAGCTGAGCACTCTCAACCAATCAGTGTCTTCCTGCTCTGAATTGAATGGATTCCTCTTTAATACTGCTGACAAGGAAGTACTCTAATATCACTTCCTTCCAGCTCTAGCCAGCACTGCCCGGCACAATCACAGCTAGCTAGCAAGCTGGGGAGGAGGGAAATGGAAAAATGTTGCCTGCCCTCCTCCAAATGCTGATTGTTTCCTGGTTCCACTGGGACACCCATCAGAAAAGCTATGGGGGAATACAAGCTGATCTCCCCAGGCAGCCTATTTGTAATCTTGGTTGCTTACCCCTACCATGAAGAAAAAAAAAAATCTGTGTTCTCCAAGTTAAACGTAAGTACAGACAGCTATTTTGGTGAACTTTGAGAAGAAAGGGGAAGACACAAGAATGGCAGGGAATGCCTACTCCACAGCAACAGATTGCAAAGCAGAAAATGTTGCTTATTAGATCCACTTATTAGATCCACTAATGAGAAGTTGGCACAATGCGTCCGGGGAAATAGGCTTAACTCCACCAGAAAACATCAAACAAGAAACTGACTGGGTGATTTAAAAACAAAACCATGTTTTTTTCTGTAAAACAAATACTTATCCTAAAGCTAAAAGAACAGAGAAAAAAGACTGGGATACAGGAAAGGTGATCTAATTTCCTAAAGTGCTACCCATTTTAATATGCTATGGTTGCCCAGGAAATATTTCATATTTAGATTAAAATATGCCATTCATATTGATGGTGCTTGCAATAACTGCCTTAATATGTTTGTGTTTGCTTTACAGATTATCAACGTCAGAAGGAGAGGACTGTTCACTAGGCACAGCAAAAGCCCTACTTGCGTACTTTGCTTCCGTCCATATTTATTAGGTTATTAAGGGGTTACTTTGGTGGTTTGGGAAATATCTCTGTGTACTACACTACAAAAGGGACGTTAACATTTTTCTGTCAGCCAGCATTACTTTTACAATTCATGTCAGTGGTAATCGGAGAGCTTTTATTTTTAAAAATTCCATGTCTGAATAACTGTCATATTAAGCACATTACTGCAAAAGGAGGGTATAAAAAAATTACATTATTGTCTCTTCAGTAATTACGTGGGCTCTTGTCGCACCATACATTAGTACATTCTTTATTGTACATGGAGACTATGGGTGTTTATTTGGGGGTGGGGGAATTGCCAACTGTTTGAGTTCAAACGGTTTGACAAAAAAATAAAAATAAAAAGCAGGGTTGAGAAAACCATAGATTTCTTGCACAACAACCACGGTGATGGGCTGTAGTGGGTATGTTGCATGGAGTGCCCCTTTAAAAAAAAAAAAAAACTACACGCGTGCTCTTGTACAGAGACTGTACAGAGACATTCCAGCAAACTCTAATTCCATTATGTGCAGGCTTACTACTTTTTAAAAAAATATTTTCTAGTTCAATGCAAAATAAAGTGTATTCTTTCTTTACAAAAGTGTCAATGTTAATGCTGTGATTTGAAATCCGATGTGTAGAGTGGCACCAATGAAATATAGTGGTGCTAATTAGTCAGTGAGTTGTGCTGTATGAAGATGGAGTTTTTTTTGGATCCACAATCTTGTAGGTGGAAGGGGAAATTATTTCTCATCAGCAGTGCTTAATTGCATAAACTATATAGAGGATTATTTACTAAAGTCTGAATTGCCCAGTAGCAAATGGGGCCATTTGGCCATTGTTCATAGTATTTAACAATATCCAGATTTTGCAGTCCTAGCTACAAACGAAGCAGAAATGTGTCCGTATTTCAGTGACACTGAATGATTTGACCACTGGCAACACCACCAGGCAAAAAGTTAATAAAAAAAAACACCTGCAAAAAAAGCCTATGAGGTCAGTATGATCCGCATCTAACCTATAATAACACCTGTGTGCTCCATATGCATATCTACACAGCAATGAGTAGCTAACTCATGGTTAAATACCTTTCCTACCTTGAGCTGTATGGGCAAAGGTTGGATTCATTTTTCTGATATCAGGTTTTACATGTTTTTTTGCTGTTTGGGTGTTTTTTTTTTCTTTTTCAGATTTAAATTTTTTTTTTAAATGAACTTAGTAGCCCCCATACACGGGTCATGGGTGGGAGCTGAGGAAACATTTAGTGTTCCCTCCTGGTTTATATTATAGAGCACCATTTGGTGCCCATGGGAGGGGATGGTGAAGACTTAACCATGTTTACCTCACCAGCCATTGGTGGGCAAAGGGGGGGGGGACAATTGGATGTGCCACCCCCCACCCCTTTTATTGATAAATTGCCTCCACCAACTATCTATGGGTGAAGGGACACTGGTAGCAATCTAAAATAATCATATCAAAAATAATTTATTTTTAATATAATATAACAATTCTTTTTCTAGCCCTTCCTCTCCTTTACCCTCACCCCAGAACAGAGATTTGGGCACTTTACCACTTCTCAACTTTTCCACTTACACCTTTGTTTTGTTTCTTAGCTTCCCTTTCGCTTTATTCTTTCTTCTCTGTGTACATAGTTTATCTTGTTAAACTCCCCTAAATTACTGCCCTTTCCCTTCCCACTCATACTTTAAATGGCATAGGAAAAACTGTGACCCTGAGTATTCATACGACTTACTTATTTATCTTTAGTGCACATTACTTATTTCCTTTACATCATCAAGATCACATGATCAAACATACTCACCTCCTACTATCTCCTTCAATTATTTGCTCTGGTTATACATATATGCTCAGAAGTGTCTTAAGGAACCTAATTTGTTCTGTTCAATGCTCGGGTCACATGCCATTGAGAGGAGGTAATACATTTGTAATCTCTGCAGACAGTTCTTGAGTGATTATATTGTTGGTGAATCTCCAAGTAACTGTTAGATCAGAATTATATATACACAATTTTTAAGCTATTCCTTTTCTTTATAAAAGTAAAATATTAACTAATAGTGCAAGGATAATACAATCTGATTTTGAAACTCTGTTCAATTTAAAAAACAAAACCAAAAAAAAAACCCATCAGCTTTAAACTTCAATTAGGTTTATTATGTAAATTGTGACATGTCCGAAATGGACGAGGGAATTTTATATTTTAGACCAAAATAGTGGCAACTGAAGTAGCTGTGCAGAGCTGATATTTGCTGGACCCAAGACTCTGATGTTATGACGCCCACAGTGTCCCTTTAATTATAAAACTCCAGATCTCGGGAGCGGAGCCTGACCTTCAAGCCAGCTAGATACATGTCAGAGGCTCCCACAACTCTTGCCGGTATACTGTGAATATTCCTGGACTTCAAGCCGCCACAAAGGCCACAGTGCACTACTCATGTCAGGAGTGCCCTGCCAAATCAAATGAGCACTCACTTGAATTTCCAAACAACCGGGATCTCTGGGTACAGTGCTGCGAGCTTACGAGCATTGAAGATGGGGAGTGGTGGCTGCTCTCTTGCTAGCTGTGTGATATCTTTAACCCCCCCAGACCGGTGGGGGATATCCCAGTCCCCACTTGACTGTCGCATATAACTAAAGAAGTCTCTCAATCCTGCGGTCTGTGGCACATAACTTGTGACAGGCACTCAAGATGGTGGCCGCCTCCTCACTTGAAACGTAGGGCCTGCATTTGTCCCATGGGCCTCATCGGAACTCCTTGGATCGCATCTTGCTGAAACTAGATGAGGTGCTGCAAGAGTTCTGGCTGAAGCTTCAAAATCGTGCACAAGCCATTCCATATCAGTGGCTGGAAGGAACTGTGGAAAGCAAGACAGAGGAAGAGAGTGGAGCCTCTATGGATGCCTGTACCGGGAAGGGACATACCCTTTTGTCCGCATGCCTAAGCCGAGAGGCTCCTGAGGTACTGCCCCAATGTATCAACCACACAGACGGAGGATCACCCGCCGCAAACCGCATTCCTCACTTCGATCCTCTACTTGTCCAAGAAAGGGGAGGGACCCAGACCCGGGTAACATCCAGGCACATGCTCCTGTGCTGCTGAATTCCACACAGGCCTGGGACTGATGAAGAGCCCTGACCAGCTATGCTTTCTTGGGTTTACCCATGGAACTCCCTCAAATCGTGACACTTCTACATTACCTCCATGTCCATGAAGGTTCCAGTTACCGCCCAGCAATGAGAATCGGGTGATAGTAACTCTTGTTAGCTCTGGGCCCACTGTTATTATTTTCGCCATGCTGTGTTATTTTATGTTAGTTCCTTCATACGAGGCATTATTGCTAGGATGCCCAGTCACAGTGGAATTTTTATTTTAGGCTTTCGTATTGGTGGACACTGGCTGAGAAGCCTTACTACTAAGCTAGATATGTTTTATACCAATGCCTTTCATGTAATCAATACTCCATAAGATAAGTCTGCCACAGCTATGATTCTGTCTACCTACTAGACTAACTTGCTAGACACTTATTTTATATATTTGAATTTATTTTGTTTCTTTGCATAACTCATCTAGTTATACTTAGTTTTAGCATGTTTACTTGACTAAAAATTGTGCTGTTATCAAATCCCATGATATTGTTCACTCTGTATTTTTTCATTAGCTTGTACCTGCTGTTGTGGCAACACAAGCTTGTTTGTAACTCTAAGCACTGCAAAAATAAAGAATGGGAAAAAAAAAAACTCCAGACCTCTAAAGCACTTTAGCTTGTTCAAATGTTTTATCTGTAAAGAGTGTAATTTTACAGTGTGCAGATTTTAATGGAAATTTGCACTTTAGTAAATTTACAGCACCCAGATGGCACACTACCAGTCATATTACTTACAGGTTGCTTAGCTCAGTGGAGCTAAACTCAGGAGTCAGGCAATTGCTCGGAGCACCTGCCTTGCAAAGAATTCTCAGCTACAGAAAGTCTGGGCTGGGGAAGAAACAGAGGGCCATAAGAAAGTAGCAAATGGATATGTACAACGAAAATATCGACGTGGGCATACACATTTTGTAAGGATGTAATGAATACTCTCCAACTTTTACCATTTATTTTGAATGGAAAAATCTGGAACAAGTTTTGACTATGTGAGCCACTTATTTTATCCCTAGTTTGAAACAGAACACTATGCAGATGTAAGTTGCACGTATGTATGTATCATTATGTCTCTGAAAGATGATCAGATGAGAAAAATCTTCATAGTTTGCCCTTTAGAAAGATACATATGATACCTCTTTTCTGTTCAAGTGTACCATTTTAGAGAGACCATTTCCATAACCATATCAGATTGATCACATTTAAAAAGACAGTCTTAACCACAAACCTGGGCAAATTTTCTTTGCTCTATCTTGTCACTTTAAGGCTTCATCTGTGACCAGGGCTGATTCTGGATTTTCAAACGTATATAAAGTAAATAGTTTATTCCCGATATAAAACAAGTAGAAACATAAGATTTAATTTATTAATTAACAAAACAATCGTGTTTAAGGCACATACCCATTTGAGGTAAAAAAAAAAAAAAAAAAAAAAAACCTACCCTTGGTCAGTATCTATTCACCACCTTTGAACCTGAACTGTGCAGATGACATCTTATCAGGAACAAATGTCCAGTAGCAATTCTCAGTAAGCTGCATGAAATGTTTGTTATTTTGTTTAGGATATTTAACGATGACACAAGGGTGAGTAAAACCCAACGCTAAGAAATGGCTGTAAAAGTAAGTGATATCTCTCACTTAATGCAAGCCGTTAGTCTTTACCCCTGACTTTCTCATCATCATCACTGTTGTCTTTCTCCTCAGTCACTTCACATAGCCGACTTTCATCCACCTGCTCCAGGGACTCCGTTCTTTGCAGTGACAGCTCGTTCAAAGACATCCGAGGCAATGTGTTTTGTTCTGGATTTAGCCATGGCTTAAATTCAGGTCGATTCTTCTTCTTCCAGGCAGGATATTGGACACAGGCCTTGTGCATTTTTCGTAGGATCTAAGATAAAGCAGAGGGACAGAACAGAATAAGAATGACTCATGTATAGTGTAGTGTAATGCAAAGCTGGGATGTACCAAAACACAGGATTGGAGGATATCCTTACTGGTGCACAAGTGTCTGTGAAGATGAGAGTTACTCATTAACTCACTTGTGCTCAGAGCAGGTATATTATGAAATCCTGGCCCAGTTGCTAAGGATAGAACTGAAGAATATGGTTATAAAGGATGTGAAACAGAGCACTTACTTTCGGAGCCAAAAATTGTGAAGACTTATTCACTACCCACTTTGGTAATGAACCTGAAAAACAAAGATCACCAAAATACTTTATACATTTTATATGCACTCTCTTGTTTAATAACTTTATAAATCCAAGCACAAAATGATTAGCACACACTGTTAGCAGGAGTTTATAATCGAATAGACACAGCACACACAGCAAATTTGTAACAGTGCAAATCTGTAACTGATTTAAAAGTACGGGAAGCTAGAATCTGTTCCAAACTAAAAATAAAACACTACAGCAGACATTTGCAATGATTATCTTTTTAGAAACTACATTACAATTATTGCACATATTTTACTCAGTGTGCATAAATATCATTTTTACTTATGTGTGAAAAGAATTTTTTTTACGGATTCTAGCTAAAGGAATTTACTGTTAAATTTCATTGGTAAATACTTCAGAAGAGCAGATCCTTTTAACTTTAGAGTGTCCAGTTAGGATTAGTGTGTACCTGTACTGTACAATGAAGTAAACAAAAAATATAGCTTTAGTTGATCTTTCACATATTTTTATAGCTATCCCATGTGGATAGCTCTGTACTGCCCTTACCTCTGGGATCCACCTGTGCGAGGTAAGTGAGTATGCAGCTGTTGGGTCCAGTTATTTTAATTAGGTAACCAGCAAGTAGAGAGACGGCTCGAACCAAATCTTTGCGAGGAGGGTACGACTGCAGAACAACACATAACCAGGTAATATCAGAGGGTTGTAATCAACATCCAATCAACATCATCTTATAGAGATCAAATCAATTACTCTATGAATGTAGAGACACTGTACAGCACTGCCCCAGGAAGCACCTCAAGTAGCCATCTGAGGAGTTGCTGCAAACTAATCTCGCATTCTCCCCTCCCCCCAGCTAGTAGGGGTTATCCCGGCACCTTCTGTTCATGCTGTGGTGGCGAATGATCAGCAATCTATCCCATGTCCCAGCTAGCCTGCCGTGACTAGCAATGGCTTTAACTTCATGCCAATCGTACACTCTAAAGTACCTGTGAGCAATCACCATGTCTAACCATACGTTCTATGACTAGAGGTTTTCTTTATGCTATGTGATTGGACAGGTTGCCTAGCCTGCCTTTATTTTTTTCTGTTATATAAAAAAACAAAAAACAGTGCTGTATCTCTGATATTTTCTAACAATCTTGCTTTCAACCACATTGTATTTTTTTCCATTTAAGAATTTCACCGCTTGTTAAAGGAACACTATAGTCACCAAAACAACTTTAGCTTAATGAAGCAGTTTTGGTGTATGGATCATGCCTCTGAAGTTTCACTGCTCAATTCACTGCCATTTAGAAGTTAAATCACTTTTGTTTCTGTCCATGCAGCCATAGCCACACCTCCCCGGCTGTGACTCACACAGCCTGGATGAAAACAAAAAATGGTTTCAGTTTCTATCAGATGTAACTTACTTCGAAAGTTTATATCTCATGCTCCCAAAATTGAACTTTAAAATTGAATCACACACAGGAGGCTCTTGCAGGGTCTAGCAAGCTATTAACAGTGCGGTGGATAAGAATTTTTAAATTAAACATAATTTGCAATAAAGGAAGTATAAACATTAGATGACTCTTTACAGGAGGTGTTTAGGAAGGCTGTGCAAGTCAAATGCTTTTCAATGCTTTCCTATGGGGAATTGAACGACGCTGGAGGTCCTCACACAGCGTGAGGACGTCCAGCGACGCTCTAGCACAGGTTTTCTGTGCTATAGGGCAGGAAGTGCCCTCTACTGGCGTCTAGTAGACAGCCAATAGAGGTGGAGTTAACCCTGCAAGGTAATTATTGCAGTTTATAAAAAACTGCAATAATTACACTTGCAGGGTTAAGGGTAGTGGGAGTTGGCACTCAGACCACTCCAATAGGCAGAAGTGGTCTGGGTGCCTGGAGTGTCCCTTTAACCTATGCACTGCAAATATAAAGAATTATAAAAAAACTAAACAAAAAAAAAAAAACAGTAGTGTACAACTGATTATGCAATCGAGTTTACAGAATAAAAGTACCTGAAGGCTGAAACAGCATAAACTGCTACAAAATATAACAGAAATTAATTATTAGTACCAATATTACCATTATTTTGTTTGGGTTTTTAAGACCTCTTCCTTCACTAAAACTTTAACATTTGACATTCAACACCCAGCTACCAATTTTGATGTAACTGACAATCCAAGTCTAAAAGCAAAATTGGAAAACTATTTTTAATTCCTACACCAAACTCTATGAAGCTTTGGTCAGCTCAGCCCTATACAACCTTAAACCATAACATGTTCTATGAATGCCTTTATAACAACACCAAACCTGTCAATGAATTCACAATACAGGTGGTCCTCACTTTACGACTGCTCACACTTACGACCAGCTCTCTAGCGTGGAGATTCAAAGGATTCCCCATGATAGAAAGCTGATCTATGTTCGGGGAATTTCCCCAGAACATAGATTTCAGGGAGTTCCTGCTCTGCTGTGCTCTGCTTGTCTATGTTCAGGGAAATTTCCACGAGCACAACTGGTATTATTTTGCTTAGCTTGTATTAGTCTGGGCGTTTATTTTTAATGTTGCACTTACCCAGAATGCTCTGTGTTCCCTTTCAGTTGTTCTCTCAAAGTATTCCTCACTTTTTTTTTTTTTTTTTTATCTTAAACTTCCAACAACCCTAAGCACTTTTCAATTAATGTTAATGACACATCACTTTAAAAAATTTAATTTAAAAAACCCACCCACACAAATAAAAACACAATTTGTTCCACTGGTGCTCTTTATACACACATACATGCTGCCATAAGAACAGATATATATTGCATGTATCCAGTGGCAGAACACCCAGGGTTACAAGTGTGACTGCATGCCAAAGGGGGCCCTGTGCCAAGGTCCTCAAGTTATGGTGCCCATTGTGTGGCCCATATACTTAGGGCCACCTGATGGGTATGTCTGGTCAAGGGCCTGGTCGGATGTATCGTGTTTTGGCATTTCAAAAGAGGCTAATAAACACCTGCATTCAAATGCCATCATTATATACAAACACACCCCTGCATTCAAACACCAACATACATACAAACATGCCACTGCATACAAACACAACTGCATTTACTACACACAAATACAACCCTACATTCAAACACAGATATTCCATACAAAAACTTGCCTACATTCAAACACAGAAACGCTGCTCACAAATACAACCCTGTAAGGATGGGCAAAAGGAAAATCTCCAGCTTGCAAAGCATCTTGGGAGACAGATGAGGATCTACCTTTTGGCCACATTTGCACAACAGAGGGACCGGAAAAAAAATTCTTGCACCAGGGCCCTCTCAACATTAGTTATGGCTTGTATCTCAATCAATTTGAAAATAAAATACAAAAGAATATGTACTGGTAGAAAGATAAACTTACACTGTGCTTGACAGAGAAGTTAATAATCATGTAACAGTCATCCAGGAGAAGCCATGAACGTAGAGTTACCACATCACGATTTTTGAGTGGTTTGGGGCATTTCCCTATTAAAACAATCATAATTTTACACGAAAGAAAGTAATACATGGTGAATACTTGCGCTTTTAACATTAATATCATCCTAATTAAAACACTCATTTTGACCTTGTTAAAAATTGATTATGATGATATTTACTTACATGAGTAATATCCCACATCAGCATTGGCCGAGAGCAGTGCAATATCACGCGTCTCAATCACATTTACATCCCACTTCTTGCGATATTCTATGTCATGGAGAACATCGTAGACTGTATCAGCTGACACATCTGGGAACGTCATACAACCCTGAAGGGAGATAGTTGTTAGCTATATGTTCTCATTTTTAGGAAACAATTCACCTTAGTAATGTTTGGACAAGAAAGCCTACTATATTTGGGAATGAGTATTCTGAAGGTCTGATATGTCAGTTTCAAATGCGGAAACTGTCAAACCCCAAAATTATTTTTAAAATGCATATTACACTTGGCTGAAACATTATTTTTGTGTCCTATCAATGATATTTGATATGACAGATTACATGAAAGATATCAGCATGTTTGGTATACCATTAATTTTTTTTATTTTTTTAAACAATTTAGTAGATATAGCCTGAATAAAACATTAAAATCAGCACTCTTATAAACTGTCACAAATATGAAAGACTACAAACACATTCTGCAAATTTAAAGGACCACTATAGTGCCAGGAAAACACTCGTTTTCCTGGCACTATAGTGCCCTGAGGGTGCCCCCACCCTCAGGGTCCCCCTCCCGCCCGGCTCTGGAAGGGGGAAAGGGGTTTAAACTTACCTTTTTCCAGCGCTGGGCGGAGAGCTCTCCTCCTCCTCTCCGCCTCCGATCCTCCCCGCCGGCTGAATGCGCACGCGCGGCAAGAGCTGCGCGCGCATTCAGCCCGTCGCATAGGAAAGCATTTACAATGTTTTCCTATGGACGCTTGCGTGCTCTCACTGTGAAAATCACAGTGAGAAGCACGCAAGCGCCTCTAGTGGCTGTCAATGAGACAGCCACTAGAGGATTAGGGGAAGGCTTAACCCATTCATAATTATAGCAGTTTCTCTGAAACTGCTATAATTATGAAAAAATGGGTTAACCCTAGAAGGACCTGGCACCCAGACCACTTCATTAAGCTGAAGTGGTCTGGGTGCCTAGAGTGGTCCTTTAAGTGCTTTAATGTGCCTGGAGAGTTCCTTTAAAAGGACTATTAAAGTCACCAAGACCACTTCATGTGAAAGAAGTGTTCTGAGTACAGTGTTCCTGTCACGTTAACCATTAAATGTAAAACATTCCAGTTTAATAGAAATTGCAATTTTTCCACTGCAGGGTTAAACACACTGTCAAGGGTTTGTGAGTCTATTGTGGTTATTCCTTCAATCCTCCACTAGTCCTAATTCCAGATGTGCTGAATATAGTGAAAGTATTCCCTTTGTGTAGAGTTTCCCCAATATACTGGATGCAACCAGTCGTACTGGGTAAAAGCAGCAATCTGAACTTTATTATGCTACACTCGGCTTCTTATGCAGTGCCCCTAGTATGGGGTTTCCAATACAAAATCACATGGATTTCCTTCCCACAAGCCATTGTGTTTAAGAGATAACGGAGCTGCAATTAAGCTAATCAAATTATCTCTCAAATAGGAAAACTTACATACAATTTTTAAATATCACAAAAATAAATGACAACAGCATTGAAACCCCACAAAAAATATATTTCTGAATAGCCCCGATCTGAGTGCACAACATATCCTAAAATCGCTCAGATCGGTTCGGTAAAACAAAAGTTATGTTTGTGCAGATATGAACTGGCTGCCTGGTAGAGGTGGAATTGTCAATTTCAAAAAGGGGTTCATTTGATTGTATGGGATGTCAGGGCTTACAACCTAAATTCCTCTGTAAGCTCCTCTGTAAGGTGTGAGAATACACACATAAGTGGCCTGGAAGTCTGGTTTCAGTATAAACTAACTCTCTCATTTGCCATAGGTCTTGATTCCCTCTTAGATAAGGAGTCCTTTGATATCAACAAGCCTTGTGTTTCAATATCATATTTAAAGGACCACTCTAGGCACCCAGACCACTTCAGCTTAATGAAGTGGTCTGGGTGCCTGGTCCAGCTAGGGTTAACCCATTTTTTAATAAACATAGCAGTTTCAGAGAAACTGCTATGTTTATTAATGGGTTAAGCCTTCCCCCAAAGCCTCTAGTGGCTGTCTCATTGACAGCCACTAGAGGCGCTTGCGTGCTTCTCACCGTGATTTTCACAGTGAGAGCACGCCAGCGTCCATAGGAAAGCATTATAATGCTTTCCTATGTGACCGGCTGAATGCGCGCGCAGCTCTTGCCGCGCGTGCGCATTCAGCCGGGGGAGGAGGGAGTAATCGGAGGAGGAGAGCTCCCGCCCAGCGCTGGAAAAAGGTAAGTTTTAACCCCTTTCCCCCTTCCAGAGCCGGCGGGAGGGGGTCCCTGAGGGTGGGGGCACCCTCAGGGCACTATAGTGCCAGGAAAACGAGTATGTTTTCCTGGCACTATAGTGGTCCTTTAAGAGAGACATTAATACCTATCCACAGATTAACACACATTTTTTATCATATTTAGAATGAGACAAACACAGTCTTCCAATCAAGCCTAAACATGATTTGCGAACAAGGGAACACCACAGAATCGGTTCAATAACCAAACAGAAGGGAACAATTCCATTCGAATGCAGGGAAACATTAGACGATACAAAGTATAATTAAGGGAATACGTATGAGGAGTCCCATCTCCCGTGACACACACCTATAAGTAAGTGACGCTGAAGGCGCTTCCGCTGCATTGATGAGTAAAACTCGGTCACGTGAAACTGCAACTCATAACAAAACACTAAATTCAATGCTTTCTTATGAGAAGCACTTGATGCGCTCACCGCGCATGCATCTAGTTCCCAATGCTCTTCTATAGGGAGAGCATTGGATTGGGCCAAAGATGGGGAAATCAACGCCTCCTCAGTGAAGTTGTGAGAGGTGGAGAGTTGAGCAGCACAGAGGGAGCCATGACACTGGAAAAAAGGCAGGTTTGTATTCTTAACACTATGGTGTTCCTTTAACTATGCTATATGTATGGCTGATCATTGTATTTGACCACAGTAATAAATAAATGTGTTTATATAGTACAAATGTTATCAAAAGAACGTTGTACGTCAAGTCTGATGATTTATATTATTAGTTTATTAGACCTCTGCTCTTGCATTATGTTCTACAGGATAGAAACACCATTGTGTTCTGGATTAAATGGAAAGCAGTGGCGAGAGGTTAACAGACAAGTATTGATCAATATATTAGTAAAATTCAGTTCAAGTTTCAAAGTATATTTATTTATTATGACAGTTACCAATCTAGCTATACATTCCACTTGTAATAGCATAAAGAACAGCACACTTTTAATGCTCAAGAGGGACACAAGAAAGTCACTAGTCTTGTTTTGCAGGACAGAACGATAATTCCACAAATCATTTACCTGCTTAAACAGATAGCAAGTATATATTCTATACATATAACCAATTATTTTCTGGAAGTTACACCACTGAATACAACATTGAAAATAACCTACAGCTGATGCAAAATTTTCTTTTAAAAATGTATACTAAACTTTTAGCAAATGATATAAAACTCCAGTTCAGTCCAGGCACAGCGAAAGCACTGGTTGCAAATGAGAAAATGCTTATAGAGGAGACATAAAGGTGTGGATTTATACATTTATTTAGATTTTCTCGCATCACAAAAACTCTTTTGTTAACACGGCTCTGTCAAGTATTTTGTTTATTCTCCATGCAAATATTTTATTGTTTTAAAAAATATATATCTTATATCACTCCCCCAGCAGCAAGTTTTTTTTTTTTTTTAAATAATGGCTATTTAAAAAGTTTTACATAAGGATAGGTAGGCACTACTTTTCCATATGAATAACCTGTTGGATGACCAAAGGAGGAGCTTTAGTCTTGAAACAGCAAAATGGCGGCACTGTGAATGAAGACATGGCGAGACCAGCACAATAATAATATTGAAATGAGAGGCTGCACTCATTTAATATGCTATTTTAATGTGCACTTGACATCAAATTGCTTGAACCCCTTAAGGGCACATGACACGTGTGACATGTCATGATTCCCTTTTATTCCAGAAGTTTTGTCCTTAAGGGGTTAAACCCAATGTTTTAGAAAACCCCCCACTATAAAACAATCGTGGTTTAGTTACAAGATATGTTCATATATTGCATATCAACCGAATTACTGTTATGGGATTGACCCATCCTCTAGAGGGCTTTCTGCAGTTCAAATAAATACTCTTAGCACCATAACCACTACAGTAAAATGTAGTGTTATGCCAGCGATTCCCTGACCCCATGCCACAGCAAGTAGTCAGCCCGCTTTTTTTTTGCAAGGTTTAAACCTTACCAGGGTTACCAAGGCATAGTACACTGGCCCCCACTTCAGCTATATCTAAAGCAGGTTCCACTTCCATATCAAATACATCGATTCGTTTCTGTTCATTGGCGGAGAATGCCAACTGACGTTTTTCAGCAACAAATTGTACAAAGGCATAAATAAATTTGATTTAATATCTGAGGTGGGGTCCAGATCATGAGTGCCTCTGGCTACCAGTTCAAAACCATATAATGAGTTACTATGGGGCAGTGCCAAGTGCCTTCGGGCACCATAACCACTACAAAACTGTATACTTGTTATGATGTTTAGAGAGGGGTTAGCACTACACAAAGGTTTTGATTTCATTGATACACGTTATAACAGAGGCACTTCACAGGAACTTTCATTCATAGGTTAACCACTCTCCAGAACTGTAATTTCAGAATTCACTGACCTTGCAGGTATGGATGAGGGATGTCTTATCACTGGGGGGTTTCATCCACACACCAATTCCTCCTTTGCTGTATGAAGACACCCAGCCCTCACTTGATTCACATTGTGCCTGGAAAGACAGGAACAAGGAGTCATCGGGGATCTGTGGGACCTCCAGAGCCATCCGAGGAGAAGTGGACCTTCAGTGGGCAGGCAGGGCACTCTACTTCTCCTTCAGCCGCTTGAAGTGGGCTTCTCCTTTGGATCTCAGAGATGCTGTAGTGATGATGATGGGTGTCCTGGTGAGATGGTTGTTTCCAGATGTGCTCCTATCAGTAAAGAGAGGATGACCCTGGCATGAGTTGCTCTGATCCTGTTAACAAAAAGGAACACTCCAACAAAGTCCAGTCAATAAAGATTCTTGGCCACACAGACTATTTCATAATCACAAACATCCAAGGGGATACAGTTATTCTCAGTCCATACATAGATAGCTATATCTAATGAAAGCTGCTGATGCCATGGGATGATTCAGTTAATATTGTTATCGCATAACAAAGTATCCCCTCCGGCAGCGTATTATTAATAAAGGCTGGTCCTAGGCCAGGCAGGTTGCTATTTGGCAGGCTCCTCCTCACACAGGTAGTCATTGATCTGTCACAACAGGTGTGTGTTGTGCGCAGGGTGCGCGCCCCGCTCGTCCCCAGACAAGCAGTGCACTGGGAGCGCGCCTCCCAGGGAGCCTGCAGGGAGTACACATACCTGAGCGCAGGAGCGGCCATGATTGATAAGGGATGGTTCATAGTCTCATCCTGCCTGTGGTAATCACTCTGCAGGATGAAAGTGGAGAGGAGTGTTTGAGGATACACGGGGGAGTCTAGCGTTCAATTGTATTTATGTTTTATAAGGGTTTAGAGCTTCACTGATGGCTTTTTCCTCCCCATTTTGCCCAAAATAAAAATGGCTGCCGCAGGTTGTCTTTGCCTTGTTTAGCAGTTTACAAGTAGTTAGTGTATTAGATGGATGGCCAGTTGGAGCAGTTTTGTGAAATTTCTGCTAGTTCACACCTTGTTATCAAATAGTACACTTAGGAGCTAAAGGCTTAGTAAATTGCCAGATATAACAATGGAGAAAGTGTAAAATAGAGATATAATAAGGCAAAAGGACAAACACAAACCTGTACAGTGAGGGAGGTAAATAGGACATGATTGTATGTGATTGTCCCAGATCCATCATTGTATTGTGGACAAGAAAATTACTTCTACATGCTCTTTGCACAATATATGAAAAAAGAAAAGTGCTTGCATGAATGTAGCATTCAAAGGCTGCAGGAGAAAAATCACTTTGAAAGGTATTCAAGGTTGGAGTTGGTAATTTCTTTATGCATATAAACAATGCATTATGAGTATGTAAAAACAATAATCTGACTTTTTGATACTTTTTATTCGTTTACATTATTTAATTTTCTCCCAGAAAATTTGCCATTGATTATATTCACAAAATATGATTACATTATTAAAGGACCACTCTAGGCACCCAGACCACTTCAGCTTAATGAAGTGGTCTGGGTGCCAGGTCCTTCTAGTTTCAGAGAAACTGCTATGTTTATCAATGGGTTAAGCCTTCCCCCATTCCCTCTAGTGGCTGTCTCATTGACAGCCACTAGAGGCGCTTGCGTGCTTCTCACTGTGATTTTCACAGTGAGAGCACGCCAGCATCCAAAGGAAAGCATTGAGAATGCGCGCGCAGCTCTTGTCGCGCGTGCGCATTCAGCCGACGGGGCGGATCGGAGGAGGAGAGGAGGCAGAGAGCTCTCCGCCCAGCGCTGGAAAAAGGTAAGTTTTTTTTTTTTTTATTTATTTTATTTTATTTGTGCACGGATATATCACATCAGGCTTACAATGCCACAACAGCTAGGGTAAGCAGTTTGCTAACATATAGGTACATTAGTTAGGCATGAAAGAGTACTGCACATTTTTATATAGTAATGTTGCTTATCTAGGAGTTCTTCTATGCTGCTCAACAGAAAAGGTAAGATACGAGTATAGACATAGCGAAGGATCATACATTTAGCACTATAGATTAAGGCATTTCTAATGCATATTATGCATGAGTGAAAGGTATAGTGACATTTGTTTAGCGATTTCTAGATTGTTAAGATTCCACTAGCGCTAATAATTATATATAATTATAATACAATCACATATAATATAAGCTCAGGTATAGAAAAAAAAAATTAAAAAAAAATTGAGTGCACATATTGTGTTAAGCTTAGTGTGCTGCGTCTGTACTAAGTAACGTAATGTCCAGCCTGTGTGGTCTAACCGATCCCCATCAGCCGTCGGGTTAGTGCCCGGAGCAGTAGGCGGTGGGGGTCCTCCCAGTCAGTGCTCTTCCAGTGTCCAGCCGAGGTGTATTCAGAGGGTATGGTTGCATAAGTCCCCTGTCTTGTGATGAGCATGTCGTGGGCTTGTTGTCCCTGGTGGGGATAGTGGGTTTTATGGTGATTGGTATCCTCTGTTAAGGCAGTTTGGTGAGTATGAGGAGGTCCCCCATCGCGCCACAGCACTTTTAGGTAGTTGTACTGGGCTGGGCTGTGCCTGGGAGTCTGGTGGTCTCTGCCATGGTGACTTTGCCCAGGTGGGGTTGTGATCACAGCGCGGGGAGGGGGGGTTTGGGTGGATAGTCCTTGGGTTTGTCTCCTTTCAGTTAGGTGACTCACCGCTGGTGGGCTGTTGCTGACCCGCAGGGGCTTGCGTCGGGTTTCCCGCCTTCTCCTCCCTGCTTTCCATGCTGTAGTTTGGCCCCATCCTGGTTTAGACTGCTGCTTATGTTTGTTCCATCGTGGCATTTTCCCCGGGTCTCTCGGTGGGTGTTTGGGTGGACGGTGATGATGACCGGCCTGATGGTCTCGTGATCTATGTGTGGAGAGAGGCCTCTGTGCCTTAAGTGTATTTCTTGAGGTGCTGTAAGAAGTGCGCTTGGAGGTAGGCTGCGGTTGGACTGGTGGGTGAGACCGGGTCAGGCCCTGGGTGGCACTCCACCTGTTGTGGTGTTTCCACTTTCCCTCCAGTTTCCTCGTGGCTTGCTTAGGGTCTGCCTGGCCCAGATTCATGTCAATCCATCTATTGCTGTGGTTCGGTTCTTCGGTAGCACGCTGTGCCTCGCTCTGTAGAGTTAGTTCTTGGTATTTGGCCCAGAAGTCATCAAAGGCCCTGGCGATACCGTCCCTCTGGGTGGCCCGCATCTTGGAGGTTTGAGGTGAGATGGGTTTCGGTCCGGCGGCCATCTTGGCTCCTTCCGTGTGGGAATCCGATTCTGCAGGGCCCCTCAGGCTAGGACGGGGTGAGCATGCCTGTGCCTTCTGGGGGACCGGGATGACCCCCGCCGGTCCATAGGGGGGAGGGTGGGAGCAAATATGGGCTCCACGGTCAACCGGAGTGCAAGGAGAGCGGCCGTCTCCCCCCGCCTCGGCCTCCCGTAGGCCGCGCAGTTGCCTCATCGTGGAGTAGCTGTTCGTCGGCGGGTTTACCGCATGCACCGTGTCCCCGGACTGCTTACTAGTGCCCATTAGGTGAGTGGAGCAATTTGTCAATAGTTTTGGCTTGGTATTCTGTTGATTTGCTGGTCTTGGGCCCGGAGCTCGGGCAGCATGCGACCGTCCACTCCAGCAGTCAGACTCCGCCCCCCGAAAAAGGTAAGTTTAACCCCTTTCCAGAGCCGGGCGGGAGGGGGACCCTGAGGGTGGGCGCACCCTCATGGCACTATAGTGGTCCTTTAAAGCGGCATTGTCACCCTTTGGGGAAGACCCCAACAGTGACATTGCCAATGGAGGTTTGGTTACCAGGGGGGCAGGTAAAGGTGAGTTTGACTTACCTGAACCTGTCCCTCATGGTCGCCGCCATCTTCTGTTGGTCCTCTTCTGAAGCGCCAGAAGCAGACGTCACTGCTGTACTTTCACACATGCTGAGTACAGCACTGAGGTCTATGGACAATCCGCAATACCGCGGTTCAATAATTGTGCTCTTATATAAAGGGGCTCAGGATATCAGTAAACTTTAATTGAACATTCAAACTTTTATTAATCTTTTGTAAACATACAGCAGGAACGCTGTCCTTCCGCAGCAGGCAAGAACAGGCAATAATGCTTGAAATTGACAGTTATTTCGATTGACAGGTGTTGGTTACCAACGATAATGAAGCATGAATTTCTGACAGGTGATTGATTTACAACAAATATGAGAATAGCACGTGCAGAACCCTCAGTAGACAGAGTTAACTTCTTGCAGCCGTAGAAAAAAATACTGACTCCCTACTTTGTCTCAGTATATCTTTTGACCTGCTGGAATATCAATGAGATTCCAACACAGTCAAATTGAATATTTCCTAAGTGCAAGAGTACAGCATTGATGTCTATGGAGGACTTCCCAAGAACCTCCATAAATACAGCTAACAGCCATCACTGGTAGCTCTGCCCAGTGTCAGATGTATAAGAAATACTGAGAGAAAGTACAGTGGGACATCGGTTTACGAATTTAATGCGTTCACCGGGACGTTTCTTATTGCGAAACATTTGTTATTGAAAAACAATTAATCGGTTCAGGAGGTCAGAAATAAGTCAAAATGAGCTGGCATGGAAACCAACCCACAATGCAAAACACACAGTAAAAGGCATGCAAACGATGAAGCTCAGCTCCCAATCTTTCCACAGCTTGAGAAATACACCAAAAAGTCCAAAAACAACTGCAAACAATTTCCAGAATGGATCCAAAACTTGATGCAAAAGCCGCTCCAACACCTCCACACTCGACGCCATATGCTACCCACAGGCTCCAGCATGCAGGGGGCAATGCTATAAACCTCCCAGGTGCAATGCATCCTGGGGAAACTTGCTATGTATTGCGAAAAAAATTTGTAGACCGAGGCATTATTTTCAAAGGATTTTCATTTGCAAACCGAAAATTATGTTAACCGAGGCGTTTGTAAACCGAGGTCCCACTGCAGTCTCCTCTGTTTCTCAATATATCTTTTGACTGAGTTGGAATGTCTGTGAAATTCCAAAACACAGTCAATATGAGCATTTCAGGGGGTATTGCAGTATTGACATTGAAATAAAAATGAAGAACATGAAAGCTGACTAAAAAAAAATCTGACAGTGGTGGAAAAGTTTGTGGGAAATAAATAGCATGCTTTCACAACTTTTTTTTTTTTTTTTTTACATTGTGGCAACAAACTTGTAAAATAAAAAAAAGAACTAAAATGGAACAGGAATATAAAATGACAGAAGAGGTGCAATGAAGAATATTTTAGCACAGATGAGGGAATAAATAGATGTAAATAGGAAAAACTCCAGAAAACAGCCTTAACCCCTTAAGGACCAAACTTCTGGAATAAAAGGGAATCATGACATGTCACACATGTCATGTGTCCTTAAGGGGTTAAAGGACCACTATAGCCACCCAGACCACTTCAGCTTAATGAAGTGGTCTGGGTGCCAGGTCCATCTAGGTTTAATCCTTTTTGCTGTAAACATAGCAGTTTCAGAGAAACTGCTATGTTGACCTATTGGTTAATCCAGCCTCTAGTGGCTGTCTCACTGACAGCCGCTAGAGACGCTTCAGCGCTTCTCACTGTGATTTTCACAGTGAGAAGATGCCAGCGTCCATAGGAAAGCATTGAGAATGCTTTCCTATGGACTGGCTGAATGCGCGTGCACATGAGCATTCAGCCGATGACGGCGAAAAGGATGAGGATAGTTTCCCGCGCCGAGGGAGCCCAGCGGGGGAAAACAGGTAAGATTTAAGATTTTTTTTACAGCTCCTTCTTTTTCACTCTATTGCTCAATTCTCATTTGATTTGTATATAAAATCAACATTAATTGATGGTCCCTTAGCCATCAATCATCTCTTTTTTTTTTTGGCAGGACAGACAGAATTCAGAATAATGAACAGAAACGAACATGTTCCACCATTGCGAGAAGGGTCAGATTTACATGTTAGGTGCCTGTAATCACAAAAGTTCTAAAGCAAGAAGGCATATAAATATGTATAATGAATGAATTAACTGCATATTGCAAGCCTAAAACATCTAAAAAAAAAAAAAAAGAAATATTTTGACTACTTCATATGTATAAATACTGATCAGCCACAACATTAGTTGTGCAAGGAAAGGACACCTGGTGAACCGGCATCAGGGTCATGGGCAACCAAGACTAATTGATACACGTGGGAAGAGTAGGCTATTCTGTGTAGCCCAATCACACAGAAGAGCTACTGTAGTTCAAATTACTGAAAAACTTAATGCTGGCCATGATAGAAAGGTGTCCGAACACACAGTGCATGAGAGTGTGCTGTGAATGGGGGTATGCTGCTGCAGACTATTCCGAGTGCCCATAATGAACAATGTACACCGCAGCAAGTGCCTTCAAAGAGGACGGGAGAGTCAGAACTGAACCATGGAGCAACGGAAGTAGAATGCCTGGCCTTCTGCCTGGTCACATCATTATTTAACTGGGGAAGAGATGGCAGCAGGATGCACTATTGGAAGAAGGAGGCCGGCGAAGGCAGTGTTATGCTGTGGGCAATGTTCTGCTGGGAAACCTTGGGTCCTGGCATTCATGTGGATGTTATTTTGACACGTATCTTCTACCTAGAGATTGTTTCAAACCACATACACCACTTCATGGCAATGGTGTTCCCTTATGGCAGTCTCTTTAAGCAGGATAATGCATCCTGCCACACTGTAAAATTGTTCAGGAATGGTTTGAGGAAAATGAAAAAGAGTTCAAGGTGTCTCACTCCGACTGAGCATCTGTGGGATGTGCTGGAACAACAAATCCGATCCATGGAGGTCCCACCTTGTACCTTGCAGGACACCACAAGACATGTTTAAACACCACTAGGCATGTTCAACTTGTTCTTAACGCATAAGAATTGTTTTGGCAGCATTATATTAGACAGATTGTTTTAATGTTGCGGGTGACCAGTCAGTGTATGTATGTATGTGCGTATTTCTACTTGTAATGTACTATGTTTAAATCTGTGAGCACAGTTTGTGTATGCTGTGTAAATGAATGCAGGGTTAAAGCATTGCTAGACACATTTTTTTGGAATCTAGGAGCCAGTTTTTTTTTTTTTTTTTTTTAAACGAACAAAGTTTAATTTACAATGAGCAATATACAATTCTTAAAGAGACACTATTGTCACCAGAACCACTACAGATTAGCATAGTTTTTCTGGTGCCTATTGCCTTTTCAATATAAATGCTGCATTTTCATAAAATAGGGAGTTTTTACATTGCTGCCTAGTAACACCTCTAGTGACAGTTACTCAGACGGTCACTAGAGAGTCCTGTGTCAGTGCTGCACAGTGTGCGGCACCCATGTTCAGCGTCTCCACGGTCTGCATGGAGGTGCTGAATGTTACCCATTGAGATCATGCTCAATGTCCTCCTAATGCTTTCCTATGTGAAAGCATTGGCTTAGCTGAGATCATAAAGACTATTGATCTCAGCCATGGAGGCGTGACAAGCCGCGGCTAAACCGGCACTGTGTGGGGAAAATGTGAATAAAAACACCTCTCTCATGTAATCAGAAGGGGGCAGGTACCTAAACAGACGCACACAAACACACAGACACAAACACACTGACAAACATTGACAGAGACACACACACATACAAACATTCACACACATTTTCTCACACACTCACAATTTTTTTTTTTTTATATCCACCCAGCCTCTCTACCTTTGGGAGAGCTGAGTGGATCTTTCCCAGGGGTCCAGTGCAGCTGCTCTCTCTTCCTACTTGCAGTTCCTCTCTGCTCCCTGCGGGCTCTCTGTAGTGTTGCCGGAGTGATGTCATATTCCGGCTCCTGGCATCAATATACAGTACAAGGGAGCAGAGAGGACAATGCTCCCTGAGCTGGCCGATTTCATGCAGCCCAGGGCGACCGGCTGGCTCCATTGTTCCCCCAGCTGGCCACTTTAGCCAAAGGACTGACAAATCCCAGGCACCAGGGTGAAATATCTAGTCACCATGGCAACCTGGCGCCTGAGATTAGTCGAGCTCTGAGTTAAAGGGTTACTCCAACCCCTTCAGTGATTTGAAGTGGTCATGGTGATTAGAGTAAGTATATGCACATACTGCGATATTGGCAATTGTGTGCCAGGAGCTAGTTGCACCCTTGACACATATGACTTTGACACGTGACTGAGTTCAAGGCTGCTACGTGTCAATTCTGTGCATAAAATCCATCTGTAGTTAGCATGCAATGACAATAAGGCACCTTTCGGCCTGGAGTTCGGAAATTAGCTAGACACCTTGAAGATGTTTTATTTAAAAGATAACAATAGCTTATTTATAACATGCATCGGTTGTCATCATTAGTAGCAATGGAGTTGGTGGGAAACAGAGTCTGCATCTCTTAGGCCTGCACAGATCTCTGTAAATGTTCCTGCACACTGTCCAGGTAATATATATATATATATATATATATATATATATATATATATATATATATAGAGGTTGCATATAAATATCTATCTATCTATATATATATAATGGCACACATTGCAACTAGGGTTTCCACCGGCTGTGTGGCTAGTGCTGGTATTTTTGTCTGATTAACGTCTGGGACTGGCAGAGTGAGGAGACACACTTACCAGCAGATCTGGGAGATACTTTCAGATTAATGTTTAGCTTTGACCATTCCTCTTGTTTCCTCTCCTCATTGTCACACTCACACTCCGTGCACAGTGAGGAGATCTGCTTTGCTCTCTGAGTGTGCTGTGACTGCCTGCATTCCCAGCACTGATGAGGTTAATAAGAAGAGCAGCAATTTACAGCTCTGCTGGTCTCCTCCTCAAACTGACACAGAGAGATACACTTCAAGTCCCTCCTCAAACACACAGAGAGATTAAACTCCTAAGTAAGTAGCCAGGGATACCTCTGTTGGGAGGGTTTATAGAGGACGAGTATATCTCCTAAATAGATAGGGGCATAAATAGTAAATATAAATATACAGCAACATTGATTTCTGATATGCTGTGTAAGTGTTAAGTAGTAACTCTTTTAACCTTTTTCACTAAAAACTGTCCTAGAAAAACAGTTGTTTTCCTAGCACTATTGTGACCTATAGTGCCCCTCTCCCTGGGGGTGCTGAAGGGGTTAAAACCCCCTTTATCACTTACCTGATTCTGACATCAGCTGGCGAGGGGACCTAATGCGTATGCATGGCGAGTGCTGCAATCGCATTAGGACTTCCCCCATAGGTAAGCATTATATAATGCTTTCCAATGGTGTTTTGGGTGACGCTGGATGTCCTCATGCAAAGTGTCAGAATGTCCAGCGTCATTTAGCGGACCAAAAGTCACCTGATGACCCAAAAGTGTCTTAGACAGCCACTAGAGGTGGAGTTAACCCTGAGAGGTAAACAATAATCACAAATCACCATAGCTGTGTTAAAGGGACACTGCAGGTCCCCTCTCTACCACCCCCCCATCCCAAGTTGCTGAAGGGGTTAAAACCCCTTCAGTGACTTACCTGTATCCAGCGCCGATGTCCCTCGGCGCTGGTTCAGGGTCCGCCCACGCTCCTCCCCCGCTGACATCATCCGCCGGGGGAGACCTATTGCGCATGCGCGGCTGGCTGCTGGGGAGACGCGCATTAGACTTCCCCATAGGAAAGCATTGAAAAATGCTTTCAATGCTCTACTATGGGGATTTCAGCAACGCTGGAGGTCCTCACATAACGTGAGGACGTCCAGTGACACCATAGCACAAGTTTTCTGTGCTATAGGGCAGGAAGTGCCCTCTAGTGGCTGTCTACGAGTTAACCCTGCAATGTAAATATTGCAGTTTATGAAAACTGCAATATTTACAGTTGCAGGGTTAAGGGTAGTGGGAGTTGGCACCTAGACCACTCCAAAAGGCAGAAGTGGTCTGGGTGCCTGGAGTGTCCCTTTACGAGACCTGGAACACTGCACCCAGACCACAATGAGCTGAAGTGGTCTGGGTGCCTATAGTGTCCCGTTAAACCCTTGGTGAGAAGGGTTGAGAAGAAAGTTGTACCACAGTAAGAGAGCCAATAGTGACTTTATGGAAAGAGTGGAAATAATTATTAGACTTGTGCATGGTCAGGCACAGACTCATTGTATGCACACACTGCTATACACACATTTAGACAATGTATGCACACAATGACATACTGCTAAACATACAAATGCCACACACTTATTTAGACAGTATACAGTATACATACATTGTCTATATACAGTATACAATATACATACGACACAATACTACACCCAAAATGTAGATACGGTATACAATTAATGACACACTGCCACAAAAACACACAGTAGATACAATCAGTTATAGTATACACACAGTACTCAGGGATGTTATGTCAAATCCTGTGACGTTATGTCCTGTGATGTCACATATATATATATATAATTAACTATGCAAATTCGCAAGGCCGGTATTGTTTCCCAAGCAACCCTACTTGCAACTCCATCACTAAATGTATCAAACCTATATATGCATACAGCATCCATATTGAAATTTGTGATTTTGGAGAACAAAAAAGGCCATTTGTTTGTACTTCCCTAAGATGAAAAGTTGCCAGCGCTCCCCTGCCCCTGCAAGAGCCACACAGCACAAACTCCAAACGTTAATTAATAATCTTCAGAACTTGTTTACAACTACACTTATCCAAATGGAAAGTACAGCACTGCAAGTCCCTTTGACACTGATAAAAATGGACACAACATTTAGATATAATCATATTCATTAAAGCCATGGCCTATATTGGTTTCCTTTGCAATACTTAATTTCTAAAAAAAAATTCTGTCAAAATTATGCCAGTTCTTATCTTTAATATTAGCAATGGTACTAGACAAGGCTGTCTGCTCTCTCCATTGGATTTTTGTCACAATCTTGGGGGACCCTCAGACTCTACAGAAAGTGGACAAAACCAATGAACCAATCAGGATCGAGATTTTTGTTTATATACTTAATAAGTGAAATGTATAGCCACATGGCCTATTTGAATGTTATTTCTGTGCTCATTGATTGGTCGTCACTCTCTCACATTTACTGCCTGTGCAGGCAGTGACTGTGGTCAACTCTCTGAAGCATTATGGACTTTCATGCTTGCTTTCTTTTCCTCCATTCTATCTTGAATACTTATGTTTTATATTGACCTTATCAATATTACATACTCATATAATGTCTCTGTGCCATGCTTATTTCACATGATGGCATTGACCACTATCTACTTCCATTATAGGTCTCTTTTTAACTAATATTCCCTTTAGGTTGAACAATATATTAGTGTATTATAACTTTTAATTAGCCTTTTGTTTGGTTACTTGAAATGTAATAACAATAAAATGGCTGCCAAAAAAAGAAAGTCTTCCAACTAAGGCTACTTTACTCCAGAACTAGTTTCAATGTTGGTGAATATAGCCACTCCTCAGATGACTAAGCATTCTAGCACAATTTCAAGGTGCAAGGCCAGATTACCAGCTTTAAACTTGTTTGTACTCTGAATTTATGGCTTTCTTATGTCATACCTTGGATTGCTTAACCTTGCATTCTACAATATTTCATCATTTTCCCTTTCAAAATAGTTTTAACGTAGAGGTTTGATGGCTGTAGATGTGCCGTCACTGCCAACACAACACTTGTTAACTCAGGACACTATGCTCCAGGGAAGCATGAAGGCCATATCTGTGAACTGCAACAGGTGTATGCATTCCTAATAAGTGACTGTTTGTGGGCAGCAAGTGATTACTGTAAAGACTACAGTTCTATTTTTCTTTCCTTTAGTTACTCTAGTTATTACATTCGGCTAATTATGACTAGCAAAACATTAGGGGCAGAAGCATTGCTCACTGGCAAAAAAGACCAATGGCATCAGCCCAAGGGGTACATTTATGGTCCCTCCAATATTGGCTAATTTAAGCTGCTAAATCTCTGCCTTATGTCCAACATCAACTTGTTCTATGAATCACATTATGTCATTACATCTTTGAATTATTTCAGAGTATTATAGAAACCTATATTTATAATCTACACACCTATTGTATTACTCCTGAGCCCACAATGTATTAAAAAAACTAAAACCTGCCCTCAAAGCAATATACCATACCAAGCTGTATAATTAACTACAAACCTGGTGCATTACATCAACACTCTGACAAATTATATTTTTGTGGTGTGTCAGTGTATGCAGGTAGTGTGGTATTTATAAGTGGTGTAAGTGTGTGTGTGTGTGTGTATATTTTTCAGTTCAATCCCACCCTTAAGTACCTCTCCACTATCATTCTTCTCCTGCCTTTCTTCTCCTTACCAACTATAACTCAATTATTAATTTCTATATCCTACCTCTTTTGCAGTGTAGTATGGCTACGATACGCAGAACTGGGCTGTTTTTCTTGCTGGGCTCTTTCCACTGCACATCATGGTCGATCTCTGTAATACTAAAATAGTGCATATTATTGTGGAGCTCTTTTAACACTCATATGCACTAAATATTACTGCAGAGCTCTGTAAAGCACTAATATGCAGCGCATATTAGTAGGGAGATCGGTAATGAACTCATATGCACTGTATATAACGTCACAGCTCTGTAATTCACTCATAGACACAATTTCCTCTCCCCTCATTCACATGCAAACTTCTAACAATGATATCTTGGTGCCTAATATTTACATCCCAACATTAACCTACAAATTAACTTTTTCCCTCCCCAAACTTGATTTATTATGTGCACAAGTCATATATAGCATAGTATAGTTATTTGT